TTTTTTCAAATCAAAATAGTGCAAAAGCACATGTCGAAAAAACACTTTATCGCGTTCCATTTTTCACAAAGCAAAAGAAATTGTTGTTTAGGAAAATAATTGTGTATGCTGACTGAATGTTATCGAGAAATGTCGAAATTAATCACAAACTACCTGTTTCGTTAGTAATGACTACTAGAACTGTTTGCATTGCCATCTAACATTTGCGGGCGGAAACTAAGTTAAGGTCCTAATATATACACAATCTATAAAAATATAAATATTCTTTTTATATAAAACCGCAGACTCGCGGAGTTTTCTGGCCCTGAAAGCTTGGGTTTGTGGAGGGACCCATACCCAGTGTTACGGATGAATATTAAATGCGGTAGTGACAACAGTTCACCGTGCAAGTAGCAGCTAGCTGCAGTAGCTTATAGTGACAGTATTATTGGTATTGGCAGTGACTGTGCTGTGGCAGAAAAAGATTAAGGCTTCAGTGCGTAGTGCCGTTGGAGGTATTTGTAGCTATGTCAGTGATTGTTTGCTATAGCAGTGATTGTCTACAGTGACAGTTGATTGCAGCGGTGACAGTTACTTGTGTTAGTGAAAATTTGTTCTGAGTGTGGTAGTTCGCAGTAGCAGTTGCTGTTAGAAGTTGCTCTTGAAATTTGTAGTCACGTTTTCTATATATAGTGGCGGTTTGCAATAACAGTGATAAATTTTATTTAATTTACAGTCACAGTGGTAACGTTTAATAGAAGTGGCAGCTTACAGTGACAGTTGGCAGTAGTGATATATATGTCTGTGTGCTGTGAAATGTTTCGGTAGCCGATAGGAACACCTGCGGGATCCTATCGGGGAGGATAATTCGATTTCAGCCACTCGCAGACTGGAGGAGCTTTCTGGCCCGAGAAACTTGCATTTGGAGAGCGCCATGCCCAGGGTTACAGTTGAAGACTAGATATGGGAATGGCAACAGTTCACCGTGCAAGTGACAGCTTGCTGCAACAGTTTTTATTGACAGTGTCATTGGTATTAGTAGCGACAGCTGCCGCTATCAGTAGCTGTTTTCTTTGGTAGTAGCAATAACAGTAGCTGTGGCAGTAAAATTTACATGTGACAGTTCATTGTGGCGATGGGAATGTGTTTGATGGCAGTAACTATGTCAGTGATTATTTGCGATAGCTGTGTTTCTTTCAGAGTGCTATCTATTTTAGTTAGCTGCAACAGGGAGAGTTAACTATTGTAGTGGAAGTTTGTGCTGACAGTGGCAGTTCACAGTCTCAGTCGCAGTTGGCAGTTGCGCAAGAAGGTTGCAATGACAATTTCTAGTGACGGTTTGCAATAGCAGTGATAGAAGTTGTCGTTTATTTACACTTGCAGGGACTATTTGAAATGTCGTTGGCAGTTTGCAGTAGCAGTAGCATTTAGCATTGTCAATTTGCAGAGTCTTGGCTGTGGTAGAAGGTTGAGATGAAAGTTACTAAGTTTGCACGGCAGCTTGAAACCAGGTTATTAACCGTATTTAGTATACTCTTGCATCCAATTAGTATATTCTTTTAGATCTAGAAATATACTCCATTTGGATTCAAGGTTTCACTAACTACTGATAGTTACTAAACCGATTTTAAGTTGACGTGTAAACTTAGTCAGTATTGTCTGACAATGGAAGTTGTAGACGCAGTGGCTTTGTCAGTGGCATTGGATAGTGGGATTTGTACATGACAGTTTGTATTGTTAAAAACAATTTTAATTGACAAGGATAGTTTGCAGTGACAATTTTCAGTGGAAATGCTACTTTGTGTGCGTTGTGATAGATGCTGTAACAATTTGCATTTGCAGTGGCTATTTGAAGTAGCAGTTGAAGTTTGTAGAAGCAGTGGTAATATTAGTGATTGTTTACAGTAGTAGTGGCTAAGTAAGTTACTGTATAAACTATTGTTTGGAGTAGCGATAGCAGCTTACAGTGACATTTGGCATTGACAATGGTAGTGGAAGTTTCCGTTTGCATTTGCAGTAGCAGTTTTCAGTGTTCCTTGCAATTTGTAATTGCTGCAGTTGTACACTTTGCAGTGCCAATGTAGCAGTGGTACAGGTAATTCACATTTGTGATTTGAAATTGCAGTGACAAGAATTGTTTGCAAAGGTGTGATAGTGGTAATGTGAGTTTGTAGTGGCGGTTGTAGTTTTTGGTGTCAGTTGGCATTAGTTGTTGTTTTCAGCTGTAGTGAAGTTTGTACTAACAGTATTAGCTTGCTGTGGTAATGTCAGCGCAATTCGCAGTGGCAGTTTTCAGTAGTAGTGGCAGTTGTCAGTGACTAGATTGGGATGTGGGAAGAGGGCGTGTGCTCCTCTTCTCTTAGGTGATAAACGAAGACTAAGCCGGAAACAGTTAGCAGAACATGTGGTAGTTTGATGTAAAGTGCCAGCGGCAATGGTAATTTGTAGAAGTAATAGCAGTTGACAGTGACAGTGTAAGTACAGATTTTACTGACAGTTTATAGTGGCTGTAGTAGCGTCAAATGCATTTCACCGTACCAATTGCAGCTTGAAGTAGCAGTTTTCAGTAACAATGTAGCATTGGCAGTTGTAGTTACAGTGAGCAATGACAGTTTTCAGTGGTAGTGATTGTGGCGGTGGTTGTAAAAAGAATTGAAAGAGGCAGTGTATAGTAACACTGGAAGTTTGTAGACGCAGTCGCTATGTCAGTGACTATGCAATAGCAGTGGCAGTTAGTAGTGGCTGTTTGCTGTGGCAATGGGAGTTGAGAATAGTAGAATTATATATTAATAATGGAAGCTTGCAAAGACAGTGGTTACGTTATTCTGTTCCATATCCACCTGGGAGGGGACGACAGGCCGCTCGGGATGTAGGATCGCTAAGGCCTTCCGGCTCTGTCTGCAGAAATGGGTGCACAGGGCCCACGGAGAGTTGTCTTTCCGAACCACGCAGGTACTCACCGGACATGGTTGTTTCGGTGAGTACAGGATAGAAAGGGAACACGCTTCCCGCTGCCACCATTGTGATGCCGAGGCGGATTCAGCGCAGCATACCTTGGAGGACAATCCTCCATTGTACCTCCTGGAGACAGGAGCGCCGGGTCCTAATGCCGGGATGGTGGGGGCGGGCCTCTCTCCCCCGGCTCTTATCAGGGCCATGGTTGGGGGAGTAGAGGGCTGGTCTGTCGTCACCTCCTTCTGCGACACAGTTGTGTCGCAGAAGGTGGAGGGAGAAAGGAGGAGACGGGGCGAAATAGCCTTACGGGAACGAGAGAGTCATCCTAGGAGAAGGCGGAGGGGGTCTCTCCCACTCGTGCACTTGTGAGGCACGGAGGAACGGCGCACCCGCGGGCGTAGAGGAGACGATATACCTAGTGTTCCCTCCTGCCGGAGTACCTGCGGGTGGGCTGAGCCTCCTACAACCGGACCCGGTCGACGGCTCACGTCGTCGGCGGGAACGCATCCGGAGGGGCCCCGATATTAGGAGGCACTCCGGGAGCTGTTCTCAGCAGGCGTGCCTGTTCCCCCCGTCACAAGGAGTGTGGCGAGGCGCCTCCGGGAGAGGAGGGGGGCGGCTGATCCGTGCGTGTGGGGTCTGCTTACTTCCCTCCCCGAATACGGCGCATCCTAATAGTAAAAGGGGAGGGGCATAGTGCCCGCTTCCCCCCCACAAGCCCTTGTCAAGATCGTTGGGATGGGCCGGATCCGAACGGGAACGGAACCTGATCCCCAAGACCCCTGGAGGAATGAAATGGCTGGACAGGGGGCCCACGTTCAGCCACAGAGAATAAGGAATGGATATGACCGGGGGGTAGTTACCACTCTCCACGGTTCAGGAAAGTGGGCGGGTCTGTCTGCGTAGACCCGCCCGGCGGCCGAGGGCGCCCCGGAAGTTTGTGCAATTGATTCCCGGAATGTCCTTATAATAGCCGTAAAGGGCCCGGCAGAAATTTTAGTGGGTAGGTCCCTTCCCTGATTTCTAGGCTAGGGAAAGAGCCCCACATTACCTCTGGGGAAGTCCCTGGGGAAGTCCCGTATTCCCCGGGGGTGTGCGTAATGCATTTCCACTGCCT